AAAAAAAAGGATAAAAAAAAAATTAATTTTTATATTCGTATTTCATTAATTTATTTGAAAATAAATAAAGAATATAATTTTAGAAACTTTTTATAATAATTTATATAATATATATATGAGAAAATTTTAAACATATTAAATTATAACAAAAATATAAATAATTTTTATTGATTAATTATAAACAATAAATTAATTTTATTTAAAAAAAAAATATATATATATATAAAATAAATAATAATTTATATAAAAATAAAAAATATATTAATTACTAAGAGATTATTTCTTTAATTTTTTTTTTTTTAAAAAAAAGGGGTCATTAGCCCTTTTTTTTTTTTTTTTTGATTGAGGTTTTTTTTTTAAAAAAAAATACAATTTAAAATTAAAAAATGTATAACAAAAATATTCTTAATTATATTATCAGTGTAAGTAAAAAATAAAATAATAACAATAATAATTAATAATGATATTAATAAAATTTAAGTATGAAAAGAAAACTATAATTTCATTCATGCAATTAATCCTTAAGTAATTCTATGTCTTTATCTTTCAGCATCACTATCTTAAGGTAAGAATATTACTCTAGCTCCATGCTATGAAATAGTTTTAATAGTCTCCAAATATCTGATTTGCATAGCTGCTTTACTGTTTAATTAATCAGAAGCCTATTTCATTAATTTAGCTGCTTCAACATCAGCTTTTGCCAAAATAAGTTTACTTTCTGCTTGTCTTCTTTCTCTCGCTGCTGATGATAGACTTTATTATAAATCTTCATTTAATTATATATCTTTCATATAAATATTATCTATATGAACTCCCCTAATAATAAAAAATATAATTAAAAAATAAATAAACAAAAACAAAAAAAAACCAATCATCTGTATATTTATCAATTTATTCTCTTAAATCAGTAGCTATTTCAGCTCTTTTTTCAAATAAATCTTATAAGATAAACTTCCCGCAAGTATTTTTCAAAATCGAATAAGTTAATTAAGATATGGCTAATACAATATTTTCTACTCTAAAAGTAGAAAGTCTTGGTTCAACAATTCTGTAATAAACAGCAGCATCAATAGCAACAATAACATTATCCTTTGTTAAAATAGATTATTTATTCAAATCTATAACTTATAGACGCATATCTATTGATTATAATGTATCAGTACAGGGATTTACATAATGCAATCCGGCATTTAATGTTTTTACGTATTTTCCAAATCTTGATAATATACCGTTAGATGATTGCTAAATTTATTAATATGGATAATCTAGGCAACAGCAAAATAAACATGGAATCCATGTGCGGAAAAAACCACAAAAATCACCTAATTTTTATTGATATTTCGCATAACAAGACATATCAGAATCTATTTCCATGTTTTGAGGAATATCTAAGTGTAAAGGTTTATCGCCCATTTTTATATTTTTAAAAATAAAAAAAAAAGTGTATTTTTTAAATATATATATATATCTTGATAAATAATATAAAAAAACAATTATAGTATATTTTTTTTTTTATTGAAAATTTATTTAAAAAAAAAAAAACTTTCTTTAAATAAGTTAGTTTTATTATAAGAAATATTAATATAATTATAAAAAAAAGTCTTTTTAATAAAAAAATAAATTATAAAATGATATTAAAAATTAAAAGAAAAAAAAAATATAAATAAAAATATAAAAATAAATATAAATATAAATATAAAAATAAATAAAATATAAATATAAATATATATATCTTTGTATTTATATGTAATAATATTTTAAATTCTTTATTAAGAATAAATTAATTTTTATAAAATATATATATATATTACTAATAAAATTTTTTTATATAATATCAATAATAATATAATATTTAATGTAATGACTTTTTAATATATCAAATTATTTTTATTTTAAAATAATTATGAAAATATATTTAATTTATATTTTTTTTTCAAATTAAAGGTATACAATATTTATTTTTTTCATTATTACATTCATTTAAAAACATATTTTGTTTTTGATATTCAGTTCTAAAATCTTCCCATTTTTTACATAATAGTATTGATTTTGTTTTTTCATCTATTCTTATTTTATCAATCAATAAATCTAAATTATTTTCATTCTCATTTTTTAATACAAACAATCCTTTTTAACGTCACAAAAAATAAAACATGAATAAAATTATAAAATGAAAAAAAAAAAAAACCATATTCTTCAGTGAACTCAATATTATAACGATTTTATTTTTACAAATTTTCTAAATTTATTACAAAATAACTTTATTATATTTATATATATATAAATATATATATATATATAATATAAATATAAATATAAATATAAATATAAATATAAATATAAATATAAATATAAATATAATAATAAACAAATATCATTTAATTTTAATTTTATTTATATCATAAAAAAAAGTTATTTTACCCTTTTATTAATTTAATTTCAACTAGATAATCAAAATTTCCTATTCTTTTTACTTTTTTACAAAGTGTTTTTTAATTACTTTTCTTTTATACTATAGGCTAAAGTTTATAAGAATTATTTTATTCTATTAATCAAAAAATAATAAAAAAATAGATTTTTTAAAACAAAAATTCAAAAAAACTTACTTTATTTTACTTAATTGCATTTAGAATCTTCCCAAACTCCTAATTTAACAATTGTTTTATTAGGAGTAAAATTTTTATATTAAAATTCTGAAATATTAGAAATGTATTATTCATTTTTATATCTTTCTTATTCCCATTATTTAAAAGTTATACTTGATTTTTAGTTTTAAATTCTCTTTAAAATATCTTGATTTTCAATTGCGATTTTGATAAAGTTTTTTTTTCTAGATTCCTTATTGAGGCTGTGTTTTTCGATTGCATTTTAATTAAAAAAACATGAACTAGATAAAGGAACATAATTTTTATTTTAAAGCAAATAACTTTTTGTGTTTTATAATTGTTATTATTATTCAGATTATCCTCTTTGCATTATTCTAAAAATTTTATCCGAAAGTATATTATTTTCTCTTTAAATTTCTGTTTATTTATCATCTTATAAAGTTTGTTTCTTTGTTTTATTATTCAAAACAGCCAATTTTTATGGCATTATATCATCTACTATGTGCTTCATTTTTTTTATTTTAATTTCATGTAGTTTTATATTTTTTTTATGAATTCTCTAAAAACATAGCTTATTTTATATAGGTATTGAACGATGCATTTTTTTATATAACTTATACTTAATATATATATATAAATATATAAATAAAATAAAAAATATTGTTTAAAAATATAAATAAAATTAATATTTCTTTTAAAAACTTAATTTTTTTATTTTATATATATAATTTTAAATTATTATATTATAAATCACTATTTATAAATATAAATATGCTTTAATTTAATTTTATAAATAAATGTTTTTATTAATTTTATAAATATTCAATATGTATAAAAAAAAAATACTAAAAATATATTTTTAAATCAATGCTATGCATTCTATTTATTTCTCAGTAAAACTTAACCTAAAAAAGTTTAAAATTTTTCTTCACTAAATTAGTAATTATCGTTTTCAACTTAATTAATTATTTCATTTAAATCTTCCAAACTTAAATTTTTTTAATTTAATCTTTAACTTCCTCCATCAGATATTTAGAAAGTATCAGAAATCAATTTTTAATCTTCAGTTTCTAAACTATATTTAGATAAATATAAGACAATGTATTTTTAGAGATAAAGTAAAAATGGAAGACTTTTTAATTTAGTATTTTTGTTTTAAAATTAATTTAATTTTTTTAATAATTTGCAAATTAATTGAATATTTAATAATTTTAAATCCTCTTCATAATTTAATTTTTTTTTTGTAAAATTAATAAAAAACGTATAATCTAATTAATTTGCTAAATATAACTCTCCTAATAAGTCTATATAAATGAATTTCAAATGTACATTATTTTCTTAATTATCAAATAACTATTTAAATATTATATAAATTATATTTATAAAATAAAATACCTTTATAAGTATTAAATCAATTATTTTTTCTACTAAAGTAGGTCTAAAACTATTTAAAAAAGAAACTAATCTACTTAATAAATTAAGTTAATTTATATTAATACACTAATTAATAAAACTAAAAATTTATTTATACAAATATAATTCCAATTCTTCATCCCAATCTAATCTTTAAAATTTAAAAATATAATTATAAATAATTAAAAAATAAATTACTTTAAAAGCGAAATTTTAACATCTTCGAAATTAATTTAATTCAACTAAACAAACAAAATATAAGAAACATATTATTAAATAATATTTAAATTTATATCAATTTAAAATTATGAAGATTAATTATTTTACTAAATATTTTTTTAAACCCATTCCTAAATATAATTTTAAAATTAATTATTATTTTAAATCAAAGACAGGAAATGATCCACAATAGTTTAGTATCGAAACTAAGTATTTTAATTTTTAAATAAAAATCTACCACATTCCCCAATAATTAAACAAATAAAATCAAGTTATTAAATATGGAAATCATCTACATAGTACTTTAAATAATTTAATATTTTAAAAGATTCAACGATTCCGAATTTCGTTAAATTATTTAAATAAAGTATCATCCTAATTATATCTTATTTTTTTTAATTTTATTAATTTTCTAATAAATCGTTTACTTTCTAACTTAAATAATCGCCTATATCTTAAAAGTGTAAATTTATAACTGCTACTAATCTGGTAAAATAAGTAATTAAATGTCTATATTATTAAGAATTAGTTAAAATATCTTATATTAATCTTCTTCTATTTACTTTATTATTTACATACATAAATTATTCAGCTAATAAATCCGCTGTTTCTTTACTTGTACAAAACTTCAATTTATTTCTAAACTCTTCATATGTTTTGGGAATAAACTCACCTGAAAATTCTTCGTTTTCATCTTCTTCTTTATTATCTATATTTTCTATTATTTCTTCTGGTTAATAATAATCTTCATCCTCTTTAAATTAAAATATATATATATTAATTTTTAAAATATTTTAAAATTATAAAAAAATAATACCATAATTTAATTTCTCTTTAAATAAAATTGGAGGTAATTTGCTTTTTAAATCAAATATTTCTTCATAAAAAGATCTTTCTTCTTCAGTATCAAAATAAGAAGCATTTTATTTTCTTAAAAGTTCGTCTTCTTCTTGTTTTTTTCTTCTTTATTCTTCTTATGCTTTTTGTTAATTTTTAAGCTATTTTTCTTAAGCAAAATTAACATTAAATTCAAATTCTAAGCAATCACATAAAATATTTAAATTCTCATATAAAGTTACATAATCAGTTCTTATTTTTTGATATAAGGCTTCTTATCTATCTGTAATTCCACCGTTTTCAGCGATTAATCTATTAACTTTTTTATCTTCTCTTATTTTTATCTATAAAAAAATATTTTCTTTTTTATAATTTTTATAAAATTAGTAAAAATAATACATCATAAAAATTTCGAAGTATTTCTATAAAATTATTAACATACATTTATAACCAGAAAATGAGCTTTTGCGTTTTTTCTTTTGATATTAATACATCAAAATCAAAAATATTAGGCAAATCATCATATGTATTATATTATTTATTAATTTTAATTCCTCTTTTGCTACAAATTTCAAATCCAAAGTTTTATGCAAACATAACAGCAGTTTATATATTTAATAAATAATCTTTTTAAACTTAATGTTATATCTATTAAAAATTATAATAAAATATGAAATATTTTATAAAAATAAAATAATATATATATAAATATATAGATATATAATAAATATATAAAATAATTAATATTTTTATATATATATATAATATATATATTTATATATTAATATAATTATATATTTATATATTTATCTTTTTATTTATTTTACTATATCCTTTAATGTTTCTACTATTTTTTCCAAATTATATTTCAAATCCAATTGTAAATAGTTCAATTAAAAATCTAAATGTATTTTTTCTTCGTTCTGCTATTGTATTTTCATCTTTTTCTTTTTAAGCAATTCTTTTTATTTTTAATAAAAGTATTTTTTAGATTTATCTTTTTTATTATAATTACCCTGAAGTTATTTATCTAATTAATCTGTCTTGTATTATTTCACAGAACTAATCATAACTTTAGTTTAGTTTTGTGCAAATTTATAAAAAGTACATAATATCTGTTTAAGATACAATATTTTATTCGGAAATAGAAACACTTATTTCATTCAAATAACTTTTTTATTAAATTATAATAAATTTTATTATAAAGTTTAATTTAAATATAAATTATTTTTAAATAATGTTTTATATGATAGAATAATTTTTTTACTTTTATAAATGATAATTATCTATTTCATTATGTATTTAATCTCTATCTTTAACATTGCTTAATTTTAATTTATTTAAAAATTTAAGAACATTTTATATTTTAGTTATTCTTGTATCCAATTTTACATCTTTTTTAATTTTATAATATAATAATATTAACTAACATATTAATTTTAATTTATATATTTATTATATTAAAATTACTGGGATAATTTTACTTTACTTTTAAATTTTGTATTCTTAAATTGCGTTTGAATTATTAAAATTATAATTTTTGTTAAAAAAATTTTTAAATTTCTTCAGGTATAATATCTGTATCCATTTTTATATATATATTTTTTTACAATTAAATAAAAGTCGTATAAAATTAAATATTATTTTATACTTTTATTTTTAATATTAAAAATATTTTTATTCAATTTATAAATAAAAAAAAAATTAATTATATTTTTATTTATTATGTATGTAATAATATATATATATATATATATATATATATATATTAATATAAATTTTTAAAAATTTATTTTAATATTATAATCATCTTCTCTTTATATCATAATTAGACTTATCATTTATATATTAAGAGTTATTATTATTATTATCTTTTTTATAATAGATTTGTTAAATTGATTTATTATTATTGATTTAACTTTTATCACAAAGAAATGTTTTCTCATTTATATTTTAATTTTAAAATTGTTTAAAATTAAAGATATTTTAATTATTTTCACATTTTTAATTATCCAAACTAGAACTATTTCTAAATTTATATTAAGTTTAATATCTATTTTATTGACAATTATTGTTATTGTCATTATTTATAATATTTTCTTTTTAATTTTATTTATATAATATTTTTGATATATTTTCAGTATTTTATTTCTACAAATTTTAAATGACATAAATGTATTTTTGAACTGTATCTTTATGTAATTATTTTAATTAATCATATTTATTTTACTTAAAATTTAATTCATCTTTATATTCTTTTTTTTTATTTTCTAATTTTTTCTTTAATTTAATCACTTAATTTTACAAAATTTCTTCATTATTTTAATTATTTGATGCATTAATAATCTCTTAACCAAAAATAAACTAATTAAAAACTTTGTTTAATTTTTAATTATTTGCTTATATTTTTTGATTAAAATATTTATTATCCCTAAATTATTTTTATAAAACTTATTATCCTTTTTAGTAATCTTGAACTAGCTTTACTATTACTTAACAGCTATTATCAACTTATCTTCCTACTTTTTTTATTTTCTATACTAAAAACTATTTGAATAATATATAAGTTCTTTCAATAATCTATATAGCTTTCTTTATTTTAAAATAATTTACCATTTTCCTACTTTTATGTCCTCTGTAATGCTTTTATATGCAAACTGCATTTTAAATATAAATATCAAAAATAAATTATTTAGTTTTGATTCTATTTAGATTTTTTGGTGATCCATTTTTATTTTTTTTATAACTAAGCTCATGTTAATTATATGTTTATAAAGAAAATTTCGAAATTTAATTCATATTTTATTTATTTAGTAAAGGGTTCTGATGATTTACTTTAATTATTTTATTTGCTTTTAAAGTTGTATTTTAATGTTTTTATTAATTTTCTTACATTTATTTTATTGCTTATAAACTTTATTTATATTATTAATGATCTAATATTAAATCATTAGAAGTTTATTTATTTAATTATTTTTATTAAGATTATTTTTAGCTTTTTTAACTATATTGTTAATTAATATTTTCCATATCATAGAGCTAATCAAGGATTTTAATATTAGAATAAGACTATAAATTATATTTTTTACTTGTATTTTAATTAAACAAAAAATTTTAATTATGTTCAAAATTACTGCTATAGTTTTCTGAAATACTCTCACTTTTTTCAGTTATATATTAATTGTAATTATCTGAAATCTTCTATTTTTAAATTTACTATATGCTAGAAATATCATTAAAATCTATTTTAATTTAATTTAAAATATTTTATTTTTTTACTTTCAACTATACTATCTGCTTTTTAGGATTTTTTTTATGAACTTATTACCTGTTTCATTTAAGAATTTGAAAATATTGGTAATACTTTGGGGAATTACTCGAAGTTATTATAAGGTTTATATTAATTTTAAAATGTTTATTTGAATTATTAGCTGTTTTCCAAAAATTGTTTTAAATTAGTTTAGTTATTAAAGTTGTTTGTAATCTGAGATATTACTTATTATTATATTTATTACTATTGTAATTATAGTTATTATTATAATTATTATTATTATTATTATTATTATTATTATTATTATTATTATTATTATTATTAATTATTATTATTATTATTATTAATATTATTTATTTTATTGTTATTATTGTTGAAATTGATACTATTATTAATATTGTTAGTTTTGTATAATACAACTTTTATATTTTTCTTTTCCGCTTTAACTTAATTCACTTTGAAATTATATATCTTCATTCGTTTAATTTTCTTCTTACATTTCTTCTTCTTCATTTTCTTCTTGATCTTTATCATTTTCTTCATCTTCAATTTCTTCTTAATCTTAATATTATTATTAACTATTACATTATTTATCAAATTATTATTATTATTCTTAATATATTTCCATCAGTTAATATCTAATTTGTTATCTAGTTAATATTCCTCTTATAAAAGCTTATATTTTAATTATGTTATACAAATCTTCTTTTTTATAATTATCCATTTTTTTATTATTGTTTATTTTAAAAGTATTTAAATAATATTTTAATTTTTTTTTTAAATATTTAAATAATAATACTATAAAAACAGAAAATTATTAATTTATTAAAAAAATAAAATAAAAAATTTATAATATATTAAAAGTATTAAATATATGGATGATAAATATTAAAGTCAATTTAAAAAGACTTTTATCCATTTTTTTATTAAGTCTTTTTTTTATTGAAAATTATTTTTAATATTTATTATTTATGTATTTATGTAATTTTATTATTATTAAAATAAATTTTTAATATGATTTTTATAAATTAATATAATTTATTTATGCATATTTAAGATTGTATTTATATGCTTTAATCTAATCTATTTTTAATTTATTCTTTATATTATTAGGGTTAATAAAATAGTTATAAGTCTTATAATATATATATAATAACCTTAAAAATAATTATTTATATATTATCATTATATATATAATTTATTTATTTTCGATTTAAAATAATATTATAAATAAATTTAAAACCAAATATTAGTTTTTTTTAATAATAATTACTCTTAAACTAATCTTAAAATAAAAAAGCAAATAATTAAATAAAAAATAGTAAAAATAAAATAAAAGATTTTTTATAACATTTTATAACAAATAAAAAAGTTTTCATAAAAGATTAATTTAAAATTAAATAAATATGAAATATAAACAAAAAAATAAATACATATAATAAACTAATTATTTTACATAATATAAAAATTGATTAAAATCTATCTTACTTATTAACTTAAAATTTTTAATAAAAAATATTATATAATTATTTAACGAAGCTTTTCACTAATAATTAGTAAAAAATAATTTTTTGCAAGGGGAAATCGAATTTACATTAATTTATTTTTTATTCATAATATTATCAAAAACACAATTATTGGAGTCCTTTTTATTATTAATTATTTTCAAAAGTGTATTAGTATTTAATTTAGAGTTTAATAATACATTAAAAGAGTTTAATGAGGATTATTGCTTTTTAGAATTAAACTAAAATTCATTATTTTATATTCCTCCGTTTTTTATAGGATTTTAAGATTAAGACTATAAATGATTACTTAATGATTCTAATTATTTGAAACTAGTGTTTATATTTTAACTTAACTAATCAAAATCCTATTAAATATATTCAGAAAAAGCCGAAGTATTAACATTTTTTTATATAGATAATTAACTAAGAAAACTATTATTATTTTATATTTTATTATTTTGATTACTTTTTGACTATTCCTATGATTAATAACTTTATTATTATACATTATAGCTTTAATTTTAGACATGTGGTGAATAAAATATTTTTTATTTATATCTTCCACTAAATATTGGCTATTTACTAATATTTTTTAAATCTATTGGTAAACACTTAGGAGAGCTTTAACTATAAGATCTATTTGATAAATCTAATTCTTTTATTTTCGAATGAAATTTATTAAATCCTTCCATACTTTATTCTATCTCTTATTTTATGTTTTCATCTTCTTCAATTAATTTAATATTTAATTTATTTAAATTTCTTTTTATTTCAGGCGATCTTTTTACTATTAAATAAGGCTAAAATATTTTATATTCAAACTCTTTTTTCTACTAAGTTTAAGAAATATTTTGAGTATTTTAAATTTATACTTATTATATTTTATTATTAAAAGATTGTATTTATTTATCAGGTTTAGTCTAAAATATAATGATTTTAAAATTATTTTTTAGGATATTTATTTTTATAATTAATTTACTTATTCATTTTAAAGATTATTTGTATTTTATTTAGAATCTTATAATTTAATTTAATAAGTTTCAACTTATTATGTTTATTATTAATTATATTAATAAATTAAAAAATTATTTTATGGATTTTCTTAAATATTTTTATATTCATTTATATTAAAATCAATTCTTGTATTTCTATTAATATAAATTTTAAATTAAATATATGAAATATATAATTAAATAAATATATATAAATATTTATATATATATATATATATATATATATACTGTTTAATCTATTTACAATATTGTTAACCTTTTAATATAATCTATTATTAGTTTTTTAATTATACTTTATTATTTATATCTTCTAATATCTTATTATTATTGACTAAGTCTTCTTCATTTTTTAATAATGTATTTTCAATTTATATTTATTATTTTTATTAAATCAATTTTTTTCAGGATTTAAGCTTTTTACTTAATTTATTTTAACTTTGGAATTATTATTTTCTTCTTTCATTAGTTAAATATCGCTTTTTACATATTCTTAATTATTTTTACATTAAAAATCTTCATTTTTTATTTAATGTTTAAAATTATTTTAATTTTATTATTTATTTTTTTGATTTGGTTTATCAAAATTTTCAATTTTTAATTAATTAAAACTTTAAAAATTAATAAATTACTTATTTTACAATGAAAACTATTTTTCATTATAAAAGTATACTTTAATTTCTTCCTATTCTGAATTT